TTTCAAAATCTTTGGTAAAAATAAATAATTTTTTATACATTAAAAATATTATAATATTAATCCAATTAAAAAAAATTAAAAATTAAAAAAAAAAAAAAAAAAACAGAAACTCGAACCCAGATCCATTTCTTCCACCTCTCCTCCTACCCCCGAGAACCCCCTGCAAAAACCAGAACCCAGCTACCTCCCCCCCCCCCCCCCCGCGACGACCCACTTCCCTTCCGCACCCATGGAAGCCCAGCTCCGGTCCCCCCCTCTCTCTCTCTCTCACACAAAACAAATCTCTGGTCCCCCTCTCTCTCTCTCTGACACAAAATAAAAAATAAAAATTTGCAAAGCCCTCGGGCCACAGGCCCGTCGACTCCCCACCCCCTTCGCTCGGGCTCCCACCGTCGCTCGGGCTCCACACGGCTGGAGCTCAGTCCACAGGGCCTCGGGCCCTTTCCTCTCCACTATCCCCCGAGCAACCAGCAAGGCTAGAGTTGCTCTAATGAAGGAGGAGGAGTTGATAAAAGTCGTGATTTCTCTTTTTCTGTAATTTATTAATTTTGACTTAATTAGCGTTGAAATCACAAGACCTTTTAATTAAAAGAAAACTAACCAAAATTCCAAAAAAACTTTCATTTTAATGAAAATTAATTTTTAAATGTATGATGAATAATACCAGTTAAAAATAAAAATGTGATTTTTAGTTAAAAATAAACAGTACCGAAAGTGTTTTGTTAAAACTCTCATTAAAATATTACTTACATGTATCTGCCGCAAGCCAACCGTCTAACTTTACTGGCTATTCTTTCATTTTTGTTTTTTATAACAGGTTAGATAGTCGTTGAGGTGATTTTCTTTCGGATTGGATCGGCAACAAATATTTCAATACTAATTTGGAAAAGTTTTGGACTCAAATATTAGTTTTAATTTTAGGTTATCAGAATTTATCAGAAATATCGAAACATAATTTAGATTTCCTATAGTTTGCAAGACTTTGATCAATTCGTACACGATATGCAACTCATGCTCATGGTTCATCTCAAACTATCATGTGGAGACAACAACTTCATGCACCTTAATAGCGATTTTACCACTTGTAAAACAAAGGGTTAAACCATAGAAAATTCTTGCAAGAGAACAAGTGTTTGTAGTATAGAATGGCTCAAGCAAGGTCGATCTCCTCAGGGACTGATATAAACAATTTACGAGTTTTTGTGTATTTAACTTATTTAACTCTAAAAATTACACTAATTTGACGAAACTAAATATTACTGGGTGTGACTTAACAAATATCTAAAATGGAAATTGATTTATAGGAATAATGATTCAACTTAAACAAAACAAGTAAATAAGGAAATTCAAGATAAAATAAATGATTGAAGAAAAATAAATTGACAATATGCTAGAGTCCAACCTTTACCAACAACACTTCTACGTAGCTATTCCAATTGCTTAAATAATTGAAAACACACATGCTTTGAAGGTTGGATTTTCCTTGTGTATATTTTACTTGTGACATTCAAGCTAAAACGCATACCACTACATGCAACTTATCCATGACATTTGGATTAAATATAAACATGAGTGATTCATTAATCTTGGTGAAAATCCTTTTGTTAAACCATATAATCCCTAAGAGCATGATATTTACCTTAGGAGAGTATAATTCTCAATCATAAGAAGCACAACCAATTTTAACGTGACATTCGTTCAAAATTGCATCCGATAACTTTTCTAAGCATCCTAATGGTGTTCAAGCATCAAGATACATAGATAGTTTAATTTAGTGATTGAAAATATCAAAGCAAGCATATAACAACACTTAAGCAATTGAAAATTAAAACTACGTATTCATGTTGCGGCTCATGGCCTCACTCTAGCATAATAAATTAGTTACACATAATTATGTTCATACATAAGAAATTATCCATAAAAATAACAAGAAAGAAAACACCCGTTTTTTATTCCTCCTCCGCTCTGCTTCAGTCTCTTCTTCCCTGCCTCTGCTCGCTTCAGTCTCTGCCTGTTCTGCTTCTTTTTCTGCGCCTCATTTTTCTCCCGTGCTCCTCAGCCCTCTGCGCACTGCTTCTGCCCTTTTTTTTCTTTCTGCGCGTCAGTCTCCTCTGTCTCCCTCGGTCTCTCCACTCTTTTCTGTCCCTCCGTCTGTCAGTCCCCCTCGGTCCCTCTTTCTATATTTCTTCTTATTCTTCTTTTGCGCCTCTTGCGCACTGCTTCTGCCCTTTTTTTATTCTTCTTTTTATTCCATCAGTCTTCCACTCCCTCTTTGTCTGCTGTGTCTCTCCCTCTAACAAAAAGCAGCCATTTTCAATTCCATTCTCTCCATTTTGCTTGAGATTAATCCTAAACAAAATTAACTGCACATTAACACAAGGTAAGGTAAAATGCCACAAGTTTAACACAAAAACATCACAAAGACTTTAGAAATGGATGGTATAAATGCATGAAATATATAAGTGATCACACCTAAACTCAAAATTAATTTTGGTGGTTTGGTGGTGGGTTCTAAGATTGCTGATGGGTTCGTCATTAGAGATGCTAATGGTTCACCTGTTGTGTTTGGCTCCTGCAATCCTGGAGAAACTACAATTTATGTTGCTAAAGCTCTTACTCTTTGTGATGCTTTGAGATTTGCAATAGTCAAAGGTTTCAAGGAGGTGTGTGTTGAAGGAGATTCCAAACTTATCCTTGATGTCATTTTGAACACGTGTAGTACACATTCGCGATTGAGGACAATCATTGACGACATTACATCTCTTGCTAGTTTCTTTCTTTTATCTCTTGGTCGCATGTCTTTGTGAGGCGAATTTCTTGCTAATGTCATTACTAGTGTTGACCACTCAATGCAGGACACTTATATTTGGGATAGTCATTTCCCATTACTACTACAAATGCATTTTTGTTTGATTGTACGGGGAGCAGTTCTACTAGAGGTTTTTCTCTTTAATTAAATTTCTTTTTCATAAAAACAAGGAAATTTAATTAAAAGGGTTTCATATGACAAGCGATCCCTAATTTTACAAGTTTATTAATTTTAAAATAGTGAATTGATGAAAATGCCCCTAGAGAAGGTTATTGACTTTCGTTGACCGTTATTTCGTGATGTGTATGAGCTATTATTTTACCGGATTCTTGAAGTATTCGACGATACAAACGCATTGACGCAAGTGGAATCAAAATCGGAGTTACAGTTAAAATTTTAAGGAACTAGATCGTAAAGGGTGTTTTAGATATTTTATGGCCTTGGGCTATGTACCACGTGGGGCCCACACCCCATACTCTTCCCTTACTCCCGTGTCTTTCAATTCCACTTATCCTTATTTTTCGCTCCTTCAGGTTTTAGTGGTAGTGTTCATGTTGACGAGGATTTCAGGCAAACGCTGTTATTGGAGACTACTTCCGATGGTATAGTTCTTATTCTAATTTTACTGTACTTTACTTATGCTTTGACATCACGTGTGAAATGAGTTCATTCTCGCTCACTAGCGCATTCTTATATTTAGGCACTGTTAGGTTTAAATTTACTCGCATTTTTCACATCACTACACTTTACAGTTTCGTCACCCTTCTGATGTCGGCCAACACAACTCGATTCGGAGTTCAAGTGGACATTTCGGATCGGGATGTGTCACTTCAAAACTTTGCATTTAACCAAAAATCATCTAATAACTTTATTTAATGATAAGAACAAAAAAAAAACATAAAATATAAACATGTGTGCCCAACTCGCGTCCCCCCAACCCCATCCCCCTCCAATGTAGTTAAATAAGAAAAAGTACTTGAAAATACACATACATATTATATTATGTATGAATTAGCTAACTATAGCAACGATGACACCCATTTATGGGCCTTTGACAAAGCAAGATAACACAAACACACGTCTGGTACTATAATCTTGTAAGGTGTATTTTCATGTATATAATAAATAATATATATAAGAGTGATATATGTAGATTTCACTCGTACCTACTCAAAAGAAATAATATACATATATACAAAGTATAATACTGTTAAGTTTCATAAAAAATGTAGTATCGTTAAATTTCATAAACAATGTAGTATCGTTAAGTTTCATAAACATTGTAGTAAGTTTCATAAACAATGCAGTAAGTTTCATAAACAGTGCAGTAAGTTTCATAAACAGTGCAGTAAGTTTCATAAACAGTATAATAAGTTTCATAAATAGTGTAGTACCGTTAAGTTTCATAAACAGTGTAGTAAATTTTATAAACAATATGTGTGAGGATGTGCAGGTCCCATGAGTCATTTTTCAAAAAAAAAAATTAATATTAAAATTATGTCTTTTTATATTAAAATTTAAGTTTTTTTGTCCTTTTTATTAAAATTTAAGTCTTTTTCATTAAATAGTTGTAGTATGGTTTTTTGTTAGAATAAACTTAGACCAAACTTTTTTCATAAAAGTTTCCTAAAAAAAAGGTTTTGAAAAACCATTTAATATATTTTTCTATTTTTTGTGATCTTTGTATGTCATTACATGTGGATGATATATATATATATATATATGTATATATGTATGTATATATATATGTATGTATGTATATATATATATACACACAAGATAATGTTTGCGAAGTTTGCATTTCATTTTCCTTTCCAAATCGATACTTAATTTTTTGAATATTTGTATGAAAATACCAAATTTTTACGAAAATATCAACAATTTCGTGGATATTTTAAACACTGATAGTAACCGACACAGCAAAAATGAATCAACAGCCAAGATTAAAGTAAGATACAAGATTTTTTTCGATAGAAAAAGGTAAGATGCACGATACTTTTGATAAAAAGTAGTGCTTTCAATGACTTTCTAGTTAAACTCTTGAACCAAAAGCCACAAGTGAAACTCAAACTTTTTAAAACTGAAGCTTCACTTTAGCTCGAGATAAGATTCCCAAGCAGAGGCAAGTCATTCACAAGAAACAGATGGATTCTGACCCTTAATTTCATAAACCACTAAGCGGTACGTACCATGGAAGAAAAGTTGCCAAAATATGTCCGAAAATACTTCCCGACGCACCTTGAGTGTCATTTTGTTTATTAGTAGGCGGAGGGGAGTTTTGCAAAACTAAAGTCCAGCACCCAAAAAACTACATTCTACATTATTTGACACTAGAAATACATTTGAATTTGCAACAAAAAAAATCTCCTACAGCTTCAGGATAAATTAGTCCCAAAACATCAACTCCGCTTTACCACGAGCAAAATACAATGGCAGTCAGACTTAATTTGACCAAAGAAATTTTTTTTGTCAAGTGAGGCGAAAAAAATTCCCCTTCCTTCACTTCCCTTCCCTGTGGCTGGTCACTCTAATGACCGAGCTTACGCTTGCGATTTTGTTTAGTCATCCGTTCCCTCCTTTCTTCTTCTTCTATCAACCTAGCCTGCTCTTCGTCCTCCCTTCTTGCAATTAGCGCACTGCAACATCACAACAAATATATAATCTCAGAAAGGCTCATACACCACAATGTACATTATATATCTCATACAAGTACAGATAATCACATAATCATGATACTTTACTGAAAGTGAAACGCCATGCTTACCTCCGTCTCTCCTCCTTCATAATATCCTCATAGTTCGCCTCCATATCACTATCGTCGTCATCACTAGCGTATCTTTCTGGTTGACTGCAAGCATTTCGGAACGATAATTAGAACAATATTATACAGTTCCTAACTTCCTTAACCACCAAAGTTTCAAACCAAGATGAAAATTCTTGTAATGGGCATCTCCCAATACGCTCGGCTACAAAGTCATTCCATAATTTCCAATTTGTTAAGATCAGGCATGTCACCAAGTTAAAAGACCTTCAGGCTTCAATTGTATATAAACAAAATGTATTCAAAGTAGCAGAATGAAATATAAACAAACATATTTGGCGGACATTTACTTTTACATCGTTAACCATGAATTGACCAAAAAGAGCTAAACTGCATCCAGTAGCCTAATGTCATTTCAGCAAAGCTGAATTTTGAAATCAACCTCAGGCTTTACAACCATTTAAAAATTAAGAACAGAAGAATAAAAATAATGAAAACGCTACTCACCGAAACATTTTTCTGATCTCACTTCTAAAATCCAGACCCGGTTCATCATCATCAGGGTGCCGTCTCATAGGCTTCTTTTTGGGAGGACGCGCTTGAGACACAGGATGTGACGAGATTTGCCTTTGCATTTGTGGCTTGTTTACGTGCCAAATTCCATGAAAAGGAAACAGATATTATGCACTTATAAAAAAACTACAGAAGCAGGTCTCTGGAATATTTACCTTTCAAAGGAAAGAAAATATGTAGCAGATGGTGGGATTCATACCTGAGGTCTTGACAATCCTGATGACTGTTTCGGTAACACTTTGGGCTTATTAGGTTCTCGTACTTCTTTTTTTTGTTGCAACTGCTGCCTTGGAATAGATGACTGCAACTTTGAAAGAGGTGGTCTGGGCACACCAGACATGGGATTCTTTAGACCTGGTGTAGAAGCTTTCCTCTCAATGGCTGAAGCAGGTGTCTTAGACGGCAATCTTTTTGTCTCTTGAGGCCGGCCAGGCCCATTTCCACCGTTGCTACCAAGCTGTCTTCTAGAGTCCATTGATGTTGCATCGGGTCTTCTACTGGCAGAACTCAACTTATTGGGCCCCACTTTAGAATGCATCTGTCCATCCACAGATACCAGTTTCCTTTCATCACGACGGCCAGGTACATCTCTACCATTATTTGCTGAAGGTACATGTCTGCCATTATTTGCTGAAGGTAAATGTCTGCCATTATTTGCTGAAGGTACAGGTCTGCCATTATTTGCTGAAGGTATATGTCTACCATTATTTGCTGAAAGTACATGTCTGCCATTATTTGCAGAAGGTACATGTCTGCCATTATTTGATGAAGGTACAGGTCTGCCATTATTTGATGAAGGTATATGTCTGCCATTATTTGTCACCATTTGACTAGACCGCACCTCTTTAACATCAGCAAAAAACCCGTATAAGTTCCTCAATGAAAATAGAATGTTCAATGACCCAAAAATAAAGAGCCAGATAAGAGGTAGTAGATCACAACACACCAGAATTTGGAACAGAGACATTTTGAGGTGGTCGATCCTTTGTAGGAGCTGGGGGCTCTGTATCGTCAGAAAGTAGAAAAGAGTAATCTCTTGTATCCTTAATCTTTTGTACTTTCCTCTTAACATGCACCTTCCAGAAATTCCATTAGCACATAATAAGGCAACTAGAAGACTAATTCAGAGGTAAAACACCAACAAAAACAATTTCTCCAAGCACCTCATTAATGACTTTGGGTTTCTGATCATTTGATACAGATTTCGATCCAGCAGAGGTTGATCCAGAGCTCTTCTTGTTCTGCAGAGGCAAGTGCCATCATCAAACTAATGCACTAAAACTTATAGACATGTTTTTGTGTTAAAATAAAAAAGACAAGTTGCAACAAAATATTTTTCTGCAACAAGATTTTAGGCAAGTAAAAAATCTTATCAAGCATATCATTGTAAACATTAGCATGCTCATAAAATGAAGACAGTTCCAAGAAAATATTTTTAATAGGTAATGCCGGGGTTAAAAACTAAACAAAATAAGCAGCAAGACACAAATCAGGCATGCCAAGTAAGTCATAAAGTTTCAAGATATAAACCTATACGGGTAAATCTAGAAACAGGTTCTCTGACGCTCACCAAGAATCGAGTGAGATTAGAACCAATAAAAGAGGTGGTGGAAAGCAAAAGCAACTCCAAAATGGTTCTAGCAACAATAAGATTGTAAATTACACCACATGAAAAGAAGAATCTCAAATAATATGCGTGTCAAATCAATTTCTTTGAACAAACTAAAGTTCCCACAAATTTCCACAAATAACAAGATACAACATAACACAGAAATTACAGGGCCAAAACTATCCCATAATCATTTTGGGATCAGGACGGCATAAGTGGGCTCATTATATGTTTAAAGTGTAGACCAATTGTTTATGACAGGTACAGAAAAAAAAGTCAATGTGAGCAAGTAATGTTATGAATTTATGAGCTATATCAAAACGAGGGAGTAATAATCCATACATGATGGACAGAGTTGGTAGCACTGGATGTTAGGTGCTTGGTTTCTAACAATGATTTGCTTTCTTGAATCACTCTCTCAGCAATAACTGGTTGAGATGGGCCAAAGAAAGATCCAAAACTGCAGAAAAAGTAGGGAAACAATTTAAAATCAATTTCAAAACTTCTATTTTACCAATTACCACTATACTGTCCACAGAAAAATTATGAAAGAAATCATCTGTCTGACAACCTCATCACAAAAGAAGAAAACAAGGAACTGCAAATAAAGTTGCAAGGATGACAACTCTTCAGAATGTATTCTCATTTCTCTATATTACTTTCAGAAGGTGATATCCCTGGGAAAAAAAACATTAGCCTGTCCTAGAAATTGCAACTATAAAATCTATATCGTTACAGGCTCTGGTAGAATGCAAGCTAATCAATACATTACAGAACTATTTTAGTTGCATCACTTACTGCTTCCCTAAAACTTCAGATAACAAGGCCAGATATTGTTCATCAAATAATCGTCGGTTACTTACAATAAGGAAGCATTGAACCTAGTATTAGAAACAAACAGAACCGCCTGCCTTGTCTTACTAAGAAAACATGGATTTTCCACGAAGGAAAAACCGCGGTTATATAGTAGTTACTCACTTGTCATTGGGGACCTTCTTCTTTTTATTACTGGAGTTGGCCAAAGAAGAACCACTTTTCTTCTTTCGTAATTGTTCTTTCAAGCGTTGTCTCAACTCAAGGTATGCCAATGCTTCCTTGGTAGGCTTTGGATCTTCCTCTTCCTCTTCATACTCTTCACCATCCTCATCGTCCTCATAATCCTCATATTCGTCGCCTGACTGACCATAATCCTATCCCAAAAAGTTGTCAAACTAATTTTCTCCAAAAAATAATAGAGTATCAATATCGAAAATTTACATATAATAAAAAACAGATAGACGAAGATCCAAAATTTGCTTACATCTCTATCATATCCCCGCATTTCCCCCTCGAATTGAACAATTACAAATGCAAAGTACCTGAAAAATCACAAAAGAAAACCCTAATTTTTATTATGCTGAACTGAAACAACTGTTCAAAATCGGCAATTTTCGTCAAATCAAACAATTATAACCAAAACCCATATAGGCTCTGTTCGATTCCATGGATTTGGCATTGCATTTGTGCCCTAATTTTGAAATTGGCCAACCCAATGCCGAATCCGCAGTCCGGATGCATAAATTTCATTCCGAAACTATGAAATTCCAATCCCAAATCTCCTTAAACTGAAAATCAGAACGAAACTACTCACCTGAAATTCCTTTCGACCACAACGCCGATCGAAAATCTTGAGGCCTCTGAAATCGAGGATAATCTGTACGGAGCCGCTGAAAGTGCGATTCCGATTCCTCTGCCTTCAAGCCCTAGGTATCGAAAACCAAGTTCGATAAGACAAATGGATACGATGCGATCAGAATTCTCGAAGAGAGAATCTGCAAGCCCTAATTTGTACAGCTTTTGGGGTTCGACAAGTTACTCTGAAACGGAGAGTCGAATTTTCGGAATAAAATTTAAATACATTCTATCAAGTAAATATTGGTGAACGATTCTCATTGCGCCACGGCGTGACGTCAGTCGTTCTTTCTGTTTGCCTGTCGCTTCCCCGGACCGTTTGGCGAAAATTTCAGAATTTCATTTTTGTCCTTGTCCCTAATTCTTTTCTCCGTGTTGTATTCAAGGTTTCAAATACAAGAGCAACTCCATCCATGGAGCATTCCCCTGGCAATCCACTATTGAATTCACCATTTTGAATAGTAACTGCCTTAAATAAATAGTAACTACCATTAATGAACAGTAATTACCATTTGCATCTTCACCCTTGAAGCCCTCCCCCAAGCAATAGGCAATAAAATATTAGTTTTTTTGTTTGTTTAAATAATACAAAATAAAATTATTTGTAATTTCGGATAAGATTTTTTAAATCGTTCTCGTTGCGCCACGTGTCATTTTATAAAAACAAACAATTATTTAGCGATGGATTTCGATAAGATTTTTATCCAATGTCATCGTGCCACGTGTCGTTATTTTTTGAAAATCTTTGACGATAGATTTTGATCAGATTTTAACTCGTTCAAAATTGCGCCACGTGTCATTATCCAAAAAGATAATTATTGGAGATCGATTTCGATAAGATTTTTATCCAATGTCATCGTGCCACGTGTCGTTATCTTTTGAGAATCTTTGACGATAGATTTTGATCAGATTTTAACTCGTTCAAAATTGCGCCACGTGTCATTATCCGAAAATATAATTATTGGAGATCAATTTCGATAAGATTTTTACCCAATACGATCGTGCCACGTGTCATTATCTTTTCAGAATCTTTGAGGATAGATTTCGATTAGATTTTTAACGAATGACGGCATGCCACGTGGCCTCATCTACAATCCGATCCTTTTCTGAATCGTCCATATAATCCACCATCCATCCTCACAAATCTCACACCAATTTTCTCAACATCTCTATCTCATTATTCATAATTTCTGCTTCTTCTTCACCATCCATCCTTACAATGTCTTCTTCTTCATCAAGGATGATGTGGGAAATCGATCAGCAAGAGGAGGAATTGTTTAACCAATCTGAAGGAATGTTCAACCTTCAGATAGCCGAAAATGAGATGGAAGAGGATGAGGAGCGTAGAAGGAGAGATGATGAAACAAGAATGGCCAAAGCCTCACATTCCCGTCGAGTCATCCAGACTGTTGCTCAGATATGCAGGCTCAACCGTTCAAGAAACCTTGATAGAAGCAGGCAACGACGGGGTGAAGAGCTGTTGGACGATTACTTTGTCCATAATAGTGCATTTCCTGATACGTACTTCAGACGCCGTTTTAGAATGGAACGACATTTGTTCAACAGAATCATGACTGATGTTTGCAACCATGATTCTTACTTTGTGCAAAAGAAGGATGCTTGTGGTGTTATGGGTCTCCTGCCTGAGCAAAAAATCACTGTTGCGTTGCGGATGCTTGCGTATGGAGCATCTGCAGACCAAGTGGATGAGATAACGAGGATGGGGAAATCAACCATTCTTGAGGCCCTGATGAGGTTTTGCGGAACAGTCGAATCTTTGTACACCGCAGATTACCTCCGAAAACCTACTCACGTGGACTTGCAAAGGCTTCTGAAGAAGGGCGAGATGCGAGGTTTTCCTGGGATGATAGGAAGCATCGATAGTATGCACTGGACGTGGAAAAAATGTCCAAGTGCATGGCAAGGCGCATATGGGGACAAAAAATGATCAAAATCTATCATTTTGAAGGCAGTGGCATCTTTTGATACATGGATATGGCACACCTTTTTCGGGGTTCCGGGGGCTCAAAATGATCTCAACGTCCTTGCCCAATCCCCAGTGTTCAACGACGTCCTGCAAGGAAAGGCACCAAAAGTCATATACGTCGTCAACAGACGTAGGCACGACGAGGCATACTACCTAGCTGACGGCATTTACCCACGGTGGGAAACATTTGTCAAAACAGTGCCACGCCCGCGAAGTGCAAAGGAAAAACACTTTGCGAGCTGTCAAGAGGAGTGCAGGAAGGATGTGGAGCGTTGTTTTGGTATCCTTCAAGCTCGTTTGGCGATTGTCAGGGGTGCTACCAGAATGTTCGATGTAGAGTCACTTCGATCCATCATGATGACGTGCGTCATTCTTCACAACATGATTGTGGAAGATGAGTTTGATTATGCTGCGGTTGATGAATATGAGCTAGAGCCAGACACGATGAACAATTCAAGAACACGGATATATTGTGCGCATGATGCCACCGAAGAACCCGTGCAACACGAGCCATTAGAAAAGGATGGACATTACAACGAAAGGGTCATTCAACGATATACTGCACTTCAAAGGTCATCTATGCACAATGATCGGCAAATTGACTTGATAGAGCACCAGTGGGCATTTAAACAAGCTGGAGATACTTAAGTTTATTTAGTATGTTTGTTTGTATTTGGAGTGTTTATGTAATTTTATTTGGTGTGTTTTTTGTAGTGAGTTTTTTATTATTTCGTATGTTTATGTAATTTTATTTGGTGTGAATTATTTGGTATGTTTATGTATTTTTATTTGGTGTGTTTTTTGTAGTGATTTTTTTATTATTTCGTATGTTTATGTAATTTTATTTGGTGTGAATTATTTGGTATGTTTATGTATTTTTATTTGGTGTGTTTTTTGTAGTGAGTTTTTTATTATTTCGTATGTTTATGTAATTTTATTTGGTGTGTTTATGTAATTCCAATTGGTGAGTTTTATTTGGTGTGTTTTATAATTTCATTATACGTGAACAATTTGATGAATTAAAGATTCTATTATTAGGATAAATATATTACGAAATTAAATACATGTACTCTCACTTTAAATAAAGTACTAACTTCAATAAAATGGAAACAACATAAATAATAAATTACAACCCAAAGTGATTGGAAAACTATGGGCTCCGATTACAAAAGTACCCTATTCCTCACCACTTAACCAATCTGTGGTGCTAGGATCATCTTGTCTTGTTGTGCTAGGACCATCTTGTCTTGATCTCGCTTCTCTTGCACGCCTCCTTTGCACCACATCCGCTTTCTCCGACTGCCAAAAATATTTAGAATTTGGAGACATCCCTTCTAAACGCGTGTTCATAATGTCACGATCTCGTTGTGCAATTCTTTCTTCTCTAAGCAACTCCCTTTCTTGCCTAAGTAGCTCTCTTTCCCTCTGTTCAGCTTGAAATGCTTGTTGAATAGCTGCAGCTTTTACCTCATCTCTAGCATTGTCAGCCTCATATTTCGCCAATTCCCGCGCCAACGTCAATTCACCTTGACGAGCAAGTTCTTGCATGTATTTTCCATAATCATTCTTGGAATCACTCCCTTTCCTCTTTGAATCCTTTTTACCTAGAGGCCTAATTGGATAACGGGTTGACCCCGACGCTTGTTCAGGAATGGGCGTTTCAGGCACTTCTTCTCCATCTTCTTCATCAACATGGGAGCCATGATCGGGTGTAGAGTGTGGAGGGGCGCTGTGTACAAAGGTGTTATGTAGAGGGATGCTGTTCATGCATACTTCTGGACCAACAGGCACAACTTTGAATTTAGGACAATCTTTAACAATATTCCAACATTCCCACCGGGTGAATGATTTGTTTCTTGATTTGATTTTTTGGCACCATACCATGCTTGTGCTTGAAGTTGCTACAACTGAATAATATTGAAATTATTAGGTAACAAATAAATAATACAAACAAATGAATAATAATGAAATTATTAGGTAACAAATAAATAATACAAATAAATAATAATAATGAAATTATTAGGTAACAAATAAATAATACAAACAAATGAATAATAATGAAATTATTAGGTAACAAATAAATAATACAAACAAATAATAATAATGAAATTATTAGGTAACAAATAAATAATACAAACAAATGAATAATAATGAAATTATTAGGTAACAAATAAATAATACAAACAAATAATAATAATGAAATTATTATTAGGTAACAAATAAATAATGCAAACAAATAATAATAATAATGAAATTAGGTAACAAATAAATAATACAAACAAATAATTATAATCAAATTAGGTAACAAAATAATAATACAAACAAATAATTATAATATATTCTTACCTCATCCACATAATTTGCCCCACTTCGAGCATTACTACTAGCTTGTGTCAAGACATCTCTCCACGTACTAAAGGAATGGCAAAGTATTTTCCAACGACTAGACATCGATTCTTTGGTTCTTTTCCCACCTATTTGCTCAAGAAATTTGGTATGAATTAAACTCCACATTTCTCGCAACTGCATCTCATTACCCGTAAGGGAATTATGAATAACTTCAACCCAGCTAGTGCACAACGCAACATCTTCAAGAAGCGACCATTTCGTACCTGCATCAGTAGTCATTTTGTGGAAAAAAATTGGATTGAAACTTTGAGAGAAAGATAGGAATTTGATTGAAAGTAGTTGAGAAAATATGAAATTGTGGTGTAAGGTAGATGGAGAAGAAGTGGTATTTATAGAAAAGTAAAAATAATTTTTTACAATTTTTTTTCAGATTTTTTACAATTTTTTCGGATTTTTTTACAATTTTTTTTTATTTTTATTCAAAAAATTAATCTCTGCCGTTGGATTTTAAAAAATTTGAATTCCAACACTCCAGATTGTGCCACGTGTCATAACGGTAACTTTTCTTAATTTTAAAACTATTTTCTCTTTTTTTTTTAAATTTAATAAAGCAGATTTATATCAACCGTTGATCTTAGATCGAACGGTTGATATAAAATTAGTTTTTTTTTATTACCGTTGCAAATCGAACGGCTCGTATTAAAGAGCCTTTGGGATCGAACGGACCGTGGGAAGCCACGTGGCTTCCCAACGATCACTGGGCACGCGGGCCACTTGCCTGAAATCATGTCGGGTGACGCGCCCTCACTCGCGAGTGAGGGGCACGCGCCTGACAAAAAATAAATAAAAATAAAAGCCCGGACCCAGGCCTTACGTCACGGGCCTCGGGCCACAGGCCTGTCAATTGTCCACCCCTCTCTCCCTCGGGCTCCCACCTTCACTCGGCCTCTCCATGGCTGGAGAAGAAGCAACAGGCCCTCAGGCCCTTTCCT